TAGTGGCCAAGTACCCTGATCTATTTGAGGAGCCTACAGGGGTTGTTGAGAGGGAGGTCGTCCATGCAATAGAGATTATCCCAGGATCTAGTATTCCAAAGGGTAGGATCTATCGGATGTCTCCAGGCGAGCTTGATGAGCTTCGCCGCCAACTCAAGGAACTCGTAGAGAAGGGCAGGATCCGGCCGAGTGTCTCTCCTTATGGGTCTCCGGTTCTATTCGTGCCTAAGAAGAAGGAGCCCCTACCGCTCATCGACGATCTGCTAGATAGAGTGCAAGGGTGCCGGTACTTCAACAAGATAGATCTGAAGTCCGGATACCATCAGATTGCCATCCGGCCCGAGGATCAACACAAAACCGCTTTTCAGACCAGGTACGGTCTATACGAGTTTGTGGTGATGCCTTCCGGCCTCTGCAATGCTCCTGGCACCTTTCAGCACGCTATGAATCGGATATTCCATGACTACTTGGATAAATTTGTCATCGTGTACCTCGATGTTGTTCAAGATCAACGGTGAGAAATGCGAGTTTGGCCGCACCCGTATCTTGTACTTGGGTCATGAGATCTCCGCGGAAGGGCTGAAGCCCGATGACGCGAAGGTGGCCAGCATTCGTGATTGGCCACGTCCTCAGTCTGTGACTGAGATGAGATCTTTCTTAGGAATGACAGGCTACTATAGGACTTTCGTTAAGAACTACAGCATAGTGGCCGCTCCTTTGACTGATCTCACACGCCTTGACACCCCTTGGGAGTGGACAGATAAGTGCAAGGCTGCTTTCAGACATCTGAAGCATGCATTGACGCACTATGAAGTCTTGAAACTTCCTGATCCTGAGAAGCCGTTTATAATCACAACGGATGCCAGCCAATATGGCATTGGCGCCGTGCTTGCGCAGCAGGATGGGCCAAAGTTGAGGCCAGTAGAGTACATGTCCAAGAAAATGTCGTCTCAGAAGTTGGCTAAGTCCACTTATGAGAAGGAACTCTATGGGGTGTACAAGGCTCTCACCCATTGGAGACACTACCTCCTTGGGCGGTTCTTCATCCTCCGGACTGATCATCAAACCCCGAGATGGATGAGAATACAGTCGGTACTCTCCGACGCTCTCAAGCGTTGGATCGAAGTCATTGAGCAATATGACTTTGATCCTCAGTATCTAAAAGGGGAGTACAACAAGGTTGCTGATGCCTTGTCGCGCAGACCAGACTTCTCAGGAGCGCTGATTACTGAGTTCGATCTGACGGACAATGTGACTCAGTCTTTGGTGGAAGCCTATCGTCAGGACCAGTTTATGTCTGAGATTATACGCAGACTTGAGGCGAAGGATAAGAAGACCTCTGCCGAGTTTGAGTTGGTCAATGGCTTGCTGTTCCTAGAGAAGGCAGGGAATAAACGCTTGT